TAATCGCTGTACCAGTTTTGCTGTCTTTTCACAGTTTCTGCACGGGTATGTCTAGTGCTAGTACCCTATTCAGAAATTTGGAGATACTTATCATCTTCTGTTCTCAGCTTTGGAGTTTCCGATGAAATATCAAGACACCATGAAAAGTTCCAATCAATATCCTGTTACACTTAAAACACACCATGACGCCCTCCTTATAACCCTCAGTCCTCATCAAGGCTATCTTCAGACTACACAACGGGAAACAGAGAAGCTGTGACTATTGGCAGAGTCCTGCGTCTGGGCTGCCGAGATAAGACCTTTGCAAAGATTCAAACCACAGGCTTTTGCAATAGTTACACAATCACTTCCGGCCCACCCTCATGCTGAATACATTCCAGAAAGCTGAACATGCCTTAGGAGGCTATCATACAACTAAAAGAAAAAGGTTGCAATTGGTGTGTAGGAATGTCTTTTGGGAGTTGAAATTATCAGAGGAGAAGAAAAGACTTAATCAGGACAAGATAGCTTTATATCGTTAAAGGCCATTCTGTAGGGAAGAGATTTAGATCATCCTGAATCTTCCCAAGGACTGCTTTATGGATGACACACGGAAGCCAGTTTGGGGCCCAATAATATTCATTCCATCACTCATTCATTCACTGAGTCCCTTGCTGTGTGCCAGGCTCTGAGTTGGGGCTCGTGTTGCCACAGTGGATGAGGTTTGGTCCTTGCCTTCAAGATTGCTCAAAGACAATCTCAATAATGAAAAAAAGCTGCCACCAGAAGTAATAAGATCCAGGTGGATCTCACATGCGCATACCCCGGATGACGGAGGAACGATGATTCAAGAGTGAGGAGTGGGAAAGAGAAGCAGCGAAACAGCAGATCCTCAGAGTCCCCTCTGCCTTTCCAAACCTGAGGTTCCAGCTATGCCCTGGAAAGCACAGGCGTAAGGCCTGACATCCTGCTGGAAATCTGCATAAAATGGAATGAAAGACTTAAAAATTAACATGGCCAAAGAAACTCATTTTAGATGGTAATAGGACCAAAAGCGTACAGAGTCCAATGTGAGGTATGTGTCCTTCAAAATGCAGGGGACACTCAATGACAGGATTTCTATCGGGGAGACTGAGTCTGGCAGAGGAATTCAGATAGCTATCGGGTAAAGGAAATGCTTAGAAATGGTCTCCATGCACTTGCACTGAAACATGGAACAGGGGGCAACGATTTCCAATTGTTATTATCCAACAATGTTAAATGAGACTTTTTCTGACTGAGGGAGACGGGGTGCTTAAATAAGGCACTAGACACACTAAGATATCCTCCTCCAGCCTATATACCAACAAAGTGGTCAGTTCAGTGGCATAGAAAAGTATGCATTGCCCTTACAGGAGAAGCTTCCAGAAAGGTAATGGTAGAGAAGAATGGAGGTAGAGATTCCCTGCCAAGGGAAGGGCTCTGTCTCACCTTTCTGCTAGACCATGCTTACTAAGAGTCAAAAACCAGTCGACCCAGGGAGAAAATCTGGTGGAGAGTAAATTCATTCTTTATTGCAGCCATAATGAATTATCACAAATTTAGTGCCTTAAAACAACACCAATTTATTATCTTACAGTCTGTAGGGCAGCAGTCTAGTAGGTGTCTCACCTGACTAAAATCAAGGTGTCAGTAAGCCGAGTTCATTTTTTGGTGGCTCCAGGGAATACTCCATTTCCTGCTCATTTAGGCTATTGGCAAAATTCAGTTCCTTGTGGTTGTAGGACTTGGGTTCTCGTTTTCTTGCTGGCTAAAGATGATGACCATTCCCAGTTTCTGGAGGTCGCCACCTTTGTTGGCTTGTGGCCCTCTTCCTCCACCTTCAGACAGCAGTGGTGGGAGCTTCCTTCTGCTGTCAAGTTTCTGACCCTTCCTCTGTAGTCGAATCTCTCTCACTGACTGCAGCCAGGCTGGGTTCTCCACTTGTAAGGACTCGTGTGGTTAGATGATTAGATTAGGCTACCCAGATCACCCAGGATAATCTCCCACCTCAAAGTCCATAACCTCAATTACACCTGCATGTGAGATAAAATATTCATAGGTTCCAGAAATGAAGGTGAGTAGACCTTGGAATGGGGGACATTATTCTGCCTACCATACAAGGTTTGACCTGTGTTCCCTGGAGTTTGGGGAGCACAGAGACTGATGCCTGATTCTCACCTAGAAAAGTCCAGAGGGAAGAGTCTGGCTGGAGCTATGTGTGACGGAGAGTAAAGAGAGAACACTGCACTTCCAGAGTTTAGAGAGGCAACATGCCAGGCTCCCTGGGAGCCAAAGGGATGCTGCAAAGGGTAACCAGGTTAGAACTTTCTTGAAAGGACCCCACCCAATAGCACTGCCCACAGGGTCTGGGCTGTCCCAGCACAAAGAGATTACAGAGTGTGACCTGCTGGAATAGAGTTGAGATCATATCAAACGAGGGCGGCAAGAGAGGGCCTCGCCCATGTCAGGAAGTATAATGTCAGAGGTCTCCAACAGGCAGCCCCAAAGAACCAAAAAGGCCTCTATTTGAAAACGGGTCAGTGTTTGCATATTTGCTATGCAGAGAGTTTTTGCAAACTAGTACCAATTAAGTTAAAGAAAAAACCACCCCTCGACTTCTAGCCCTTTCCTCCCGCCCCCACCCCACCACCTAACCCTGAAGCAACCAGCAAATAGAGGCAAATAGAGGCAAGAGGTGGAGAGAGGAAGAGAGAAAAGGCAGACCCTGCTTCCCTCCTTTCCCACTTCAAGTCTCCAGGAGAACCCGGAAGGAGAAGCTTTTAATCAAATCTGTGATTAAAGTGTTTACTTGGATTGGACTGGAATTTTTAATAACTGAAAGTGTTCTGTCCTGAGTGTCCAGGAAAAAAAGAGCCTGAGATACCATCCAGGAGCTTAGAATGGAGTTTATTTGGAGGGTTTATTTAAAGGCCATAGTGACAAAGAATAATGGTTTCCTCCTGGCTTAGACCCAAAGCCAGTACATTCAATATATAAATCATGTTTGCAGGAGCCCACCTAGGATCCTTTAAGAACCAGGATACCACCCAACAGATGTGTACTTGCTCAACAAAAATCAGTAGACACATAAGGAGAACTACCCGGGGAAAGACCATACTGAGAGACAAAAGCAACCTTTGTGTGATAAGATTCTGCCCCAGAGACTTCTCTATGCAATGATACCAAAACTTCTCTTGGAGGATGAGCTCTATACCTGCTTTGTTGTTTTTTTTAATATCAGACTGGAGCTGGGATTTGACTGATGAGTCTGGTTTTAAGTGAGGAAAGAAGGGAAAGCATCCCAGAAGGAAAGCATTAGTCATAGAAGGTGCTATCTTCTGAATGTTTGTGTTGCCTGAAAATTCACATGTTGAAACCTAACCCACAACGTGATGGTATCTGGAAGTGAGACCTATGGGGGATGATTAGGTCATGAGGGTGGAACCCTCATTAATAAGATTCGTGCCCTTATAAAGAGACCCAGAGAACTCCCTTGCCCTTCCACCATGTAGAAACATGTCTGTGAATCAGGAGGCAGGCACTCACCAGACACTGAATCTGCTGGAGCCTTAATCTTGGACTTCCCGGCCTCCAGAACTGTGAGAAATAAATTTCTATCATAATCTGGTTCAGCAGCCCAAATGGACCAAGACCGAAGGGAAGCAAAGGCATCACAGTGGGAATGAATAGGGCAGTTGCAAGGAAAGAGACCAGAGGTATTTGACTGGGGCAAAGGGTAAGTGTCTGGGAAGCAGGAGAAAGCAAGTGTCTAAGTAGGATAGGATCTTTAAAGCTGGATGAAGAAGTCTGGGCTTGTTGCAATGTGCAACAGAGAATATTAGAGTTCCTAAAACGAAGCATTGGCACATAACTGTGTTCTTAAAAAAAAAAAAAAAGATAAGCAAAATGGATTAGAAGAGAAGAATGGGGTTCAGAATATCAGCTGGGGATCTGCTGCTAAGCCCCTGTGATGACTCTACTTTTTGAATAGTGGTCGGACAGGTGTAGGAGTGAACACAGATCGGCAAAATAGAGTATTCGCATTGACGACCTCCCAGGACATCTTTAGTTATTGTAAGTCCTCCAGGCATGTGGCAATGAGGCAGTATGATTTCTTAGCCCCTCCTTCTTTGTGATAGAATGTTGTAAGAAGAGATCTCCCCAAATTTCTAAAATTGGTCGATTTGGGGCCAAGAAGGAAATTATTTAGCAGCAGTGGCAAGATTCTGAGATTTCATTCTTTCCTGGACCTATGTTTTAGTTGCATTTGTATTTTCAACCAATTCACTTCAAACAACCAAAACAAAACAAATTATTCTGATTGTGAATGAACTACGTAGCTACCTACCCAAAGCTGAATTTCCCATCAAGTGCTACACTCCTATGTAAGAATGACACAGTTGGGTCTCATAGATACCAGCCACACTGAAGATATCAATACTTCTCAGGACGAATAGTAAAATACCTCTGTGGGAAAATGTTTTCCATGCACACACACCATTTAACAATACAACTCCTGTGCACCCTTGGCTCTATATGCTCTGACTTCCTTACTTACCTCACGCTACCATTAAGTCCCAAGCAAGGAGTAATAACTTTCTAAGTTTTGAACCAACAGAAGAAACTACAAATAAAATGATCAATAATTTTATCATTAAAAAATCTAAAACTTGTGCTAAACAAACAAACAAAAGCAATACCGTGGACTAAATAATATTTATAGTAATTAAATAACCAAAGGTTAATGCCTACATTTAAATGAGCTTGTAAAAATTAGTAAGAACAGAGAACCCTCAGCAGTCCCCCAGATCTGTCTCTTGCTTCAAAAGTGTTTGAAGGGAACAGACCCAAGGACACCCCTCCTTCCAGCCTTCAACCACCCTCCAACCTCTTTTCTTGTCATCACCTTCGGAACCACCTCAGCCATCCTCAGCCTCCAAGACCAGCCAACATGTTTTTGGTTTTGGTTTCTTTACCTGGACTCCTACTGCCGAACAGCCATGAGCTCCCAAATTCCTCAGAACTATTCCATCACGTTGGAGGCGGCCTTCAACCCCCTGGCCAACCTGCATCTGTGGGCCTCCCACACCTACCTCTCACCGGGCTTCTTTTTCCATTGCGACAATGCAGCTCTGGAGGGCGTGGGCCACTTCTTCCTGGGGTTGGCCAAGGAGAAGTGCAGGGTCGCTGAGCAGCTCTTGAAGATGCAAAACCAGCGTGGTGGCCGCATTCTCTCTCAGGACGCGCTGAAGCCTTCCCAGAATGAGTGGGGCAAAACTCAGGATGTCATGGAAGTCACCGTGGTCCTGGAGAAGAACCTGAACCAGGCATTTTTGGATCTGTTCTATCCGCACAGACCCTCATCTCTCTGACTTCCTGGAGACCCACTTCCTGGGTGAGGAGGTGAAACTCATCAAGAAGATGGGTGACACCTGACTAACCTTCGCAGGCCGGTGGGCCCCAGGCTGGGCTGGGACAGTGTCTCTTGGAAAGGCTCACCCTCAAACTTGACTCAGAGCCCAGAGGCCTTTGAGGGGCTCCTCTGCATCCCCCTGATGTCTGGCTTTTGCCTGAACCTCTCCCTGAAACCACGAGGCATCCTTTTAACCACCCTGGAGCTCTCTCCCATGCTGTAGACCAAATGGAAACAGTAAAGCTTTAAGCAGCCGATAATAATAATAATAAATGGACTTCCGGTCAAGATGGCAGGTAGGTAAACACGGTATCACGTCCTCCCACAACCTCATCAAAGTTACAACTAAACTACAGAACAACCATCATTCAGAACCGCCTAAAATCAAGCTGAATGGAAGTCCTACAACTACAGAATTAAAGAAGCAGCCATATCGAGACTGGTAGGAGGGGCGGAGGCAGACAGGCTGGTCCCACACCCACGTGTGGAGGATAAAAACCAGGAGGACACCTCGGCTGGGAAGGTTCTTCCTGAGGACTGAGGGGTCCCCGTCCCACACCAGGCGCCCTGCTCAGAGTCCCAGTGCCAGGAAGAGAATCCCCATAACTTCTGGCTGGAAAAACCAGCGGGAACTGAGGTTCAGGGAGGCTGATGCAGCTGGAGCCCCAGGCAGCTCCTTAAAGGGCCCGTGCACGAACTTATCGGACTCTCTCTAAGCTCAGAGGGGCGCCAGAGACATACAAGAAAGAACTGAGCTGTTTGGTACTGGAGCGAGGGCTGCAGAGGGGGCTTTCTCCGGGACAAACGTGCTGTCAGAGGCCTTTGTTCCTTTGGTGAGTCTTGCCCTGGAGCTGCTCCAGGGCCCCGCCCCACCCAACTTTCAGTTGCTTAACATAGAATTGGCCTGTCTTGGATCCTGCTTCAGGTTTTCCTAAATTCTTTCAAACGAGCAGCATCTGGTCTCAGCTAGCCCCATACCTCTCATTAAGTAATACACAGAAACAAACACAGGGAGGTAGCCAAAATGAGGAGACAAAGAAACAGGTCCCAAATGAAAAAACAGAACAAAACCCCAAGAAAAGAACTAAGCGAAATGGAGATAAGCAACCTAACAGATGCTGAGTTCAAGATACTGCTTATCAGGATGCTCAATGAACTTAGTGAGAACCTCAGTGAACTTAGTGAGGGCCTCAAGAGCATAAAAAAGGATCAGTCAGAAATGGTGGATGCACAGTCAGAAACGAAGGAGGCTTTAACTGAAATAAAGAATAATTTACACAGATTCAATAGTAGAGTACGTAAATCCGATAAACAAACCATCGATTTGGAATGTAAGGAAGCAAAAAACACCCAATCAGAACAGCAAAAAGAAAAAAGAATCCAAAAAAATGAGGATAGTGTAAGGAGCCTCTGGGACAACTTCAAGCGTGCCAACATTTGCATCTTGGGGGTGCCAGAAGGAGAAGAGCAAGGACAACAAATCGAAAACCTGTTTGAAACAATAATGGCAGAAAACTTTCCTAACCTGGTGAAGGAAACAGACATACAAGTCCAGGAAGCACAGAGAATCCCAAACAAGATCAACCCCAAGAGGCTCACACCAAGACACATCATCATCAAAGCAAAAGGTTTAAGACAAAGAGAGAATCTTAAAAGCAGCAAGAGAAAGGCAGCTAGTTACCTACAAGGGAGTTTCCATAAGGCTGTCAGCTGATTTCTCAAAAGAAACTTTGCAGGCCAGAAGGGAGTGGCAACAAATATTCAGAGTGATGAAAAGCAAGAACCTACAACCAAGATTACTCTATCCTGCAAAGCTGTCATTTAGAATCGATGGCCATAGAAAGACTTTCCCAGACAAGAAAAAGTTAAAGGAATCCATCACCACCAAACCGTTATTATATGAAATGATGAAGGGCCTTTTTGAAGAAAAAGATAAAATATATGAACAAACAAATTGCAATGAATACATATCTATCAACAATGGAATCTACAAACAAAATGAACAGGCAGAACAGAAACATTCTCATAGATACAGAGAATATTTTGTTGGTTGCCAGATGGGAGGGGGGTTGGGGGAATGGGTGATAAAGGTGAAGGGATTAAGAAGTACAAATTCATTGCTAGACTGATAAACCTCAAAGGGAAAGGGGTTGTGGGGGGTGGTGGGAAGAAATAAACCAAAGAACTTATATGCATAACCAATGGACACAGACAATAGTGTGGGAAAGGGTGGGAAGGGGGCGGGAGTGGGGAGGAGGGGGTCAATGGGGGGAAAATGAGGAACATCTGTAATACATTCAACAATAAAGATTTAAAAAATTTTTTTAAAATAATAATAATTAGTAAGAACATCATTAAAGCTCCCTGGATACAAATGAATATATGATATAATCAAATAGTTTGCATCAAAACAGAGAAATTATAATTACTATACACAAATATGGGAAAATGTTTAATCCCTCTAATAATCAAAGAAATAATCATTAAAATAATGAGGCACCATTTTATCCCGGTTTAATTTCAAATCAGAATACCCAGGACTGGTGAGGCAGTACACTTGCATCTATATAGAATAAATGAAAAAAGAGTTAACATAATAAAGAACTATTAAAATGTTCAGAAATCCTATTCCCAGATATCTATTCTAAGAAAATAACCCGAAAGTTTTTACTAAACTTGCATAAAGATTTCATGGCTACTGTGGAGAGTGGGGAGGTATGAAGAACATCTGTAATAGCATCAACAATAAATTTAAAAAATATATTTTTATGGCAATATGAAATATCAGAACAAAACAAACAAACAAAAAATCTGAGCTGTGTGCCTGATAGTTTGGTAATGGTGAATAAACAGTGTTGCACCTAATTAATGAACAAAAGAATCCTAAAAAATGAAAACAAATTGATTTTGGAGTAGCAGGAATGTGAATGTGAATGGAACTTTTACTTAAAGTTCCATTGGTGCTGCTGTAATAATGTTTGTGTGGTAATTTCTTTCTTAATCAATGAACTACTATGCTACTCAGGAAAAAGGACCTTCTTTTCTCTTTCCTCTTTCCTCTTTCCTTTTGCCCTTTTCTGTAGCACTGGCATTCAAAACAATCATAAGCAATCCTCAGTTTTGGGAGGAAGAGAGAGACACATCCACTGGTTGCCACCCATCTGTTCATTAATTTAATTTTATTTATTTATTTTTTTTTTTATCCTCCCTCAAGGACATTTTTCCATTTTTGTTCAGATAGAGTGGGAGGGAGAGAGAGACAGAAAGAGAGAGAAACATCAACGTGAAAGGGACACATCGAGCAGCTGCCTCCCGCACCACCCCAACTAGGACCGGGGACAAACTGCAACCAAGGTACGTGCTCTTAGCGGGAACCGAACCCAGGTGTTTCTGGACCGCGAGCCGATACTCTAACAGCTGAGCCAAACCGGCCAGAGCCTCTTGGTTTCTTTACCTGTCCATTTTATTATTATTTTATTATATTTTTTGTTTATTTTATTTTATTATTTTATCTATTTATTTTCTATTTTATTATTTTATTTTATTTTTTATTTATTTTATTATTTTATTTATTTATTTATTTTATTTTGGAACTTATCAGCCTGAAGTAGCCTGTCTGTATTTTACTTCTAAAGACAAAGAGAAAGCCATCTGTGAAAAGCAGAGATGTTTTCTTGACTCATTAATCCTTTACACAGACAACTCAGTTCTTAGTTCAGAATGTCAGATTCACCCTAAAAAGTGATAAGCCCAAAGAACATGATACAGGTAAGAAGTTTTTCAAATGGGACCAATAATATAGAGAGCTGCTTTAAAAGGCATTTCTTTCCAATCCAATCCAATCAAAAGTACTAAACAGCAGTTTGTTTTGTAAGTCATAGCCTAAAATTAGCTTAGAATTTCTTAAGAAAATTTTGCCATTTCAAACGAAATCATCTTTATCCTAAAGCATATATTCAATCAATCAGGAGAGGCAACATTCTTGAAAGACTCGGCAGAGTTAAACAAAAGAAAAACCAAACTTTTTTTTTTGCAAGTCTCCTTAGATATTTAATATTGAAAAAGTGCAGTAGAGCTGAGGTTTTTATATGAGAACATAAAAGCATTTAAGTGGCCTGAGTACTTCAGAATTACAGTTCTCTTACATACATTTTTAAAAACTCATACAAGACATAACATTTAAAAAATATATTTAGAGCCCAAAATGTTATCTGTTACTACTTCATGCAATACCACGAAAGTTAGCACCAATGTTATCATATTACTGATTCGCTCTCATCAAGGAAACGGCCTCTTGGTAATTAAAAGCCTCATCTCTATTCCACAGGCACCAGGTTTCCACGAGAGAACTTCCAGGAGGGCAGTCCCCAGTCTTTGTATAACCGGAATCATCTGAGGCTCTTTAAAATATATATGGTTTCACCAATACTTATTAATTCTGAAGGGGGGGTGGTGGGAATAAACATCAAGCTTTATAAAAGCTTCCTATGAGATTCTAATGATTATGCAGGGCTGTGAGTCACTACAATAGTCATACTACTGTCCTCTTGCCCCACCCTCACTTACTCATCCCAAGTGAGAAATTCAACTGACTTGGGAGTGTTTGGAGTACAATATACATTGGTTCATGCTCCTTCATTGGGTGGAATTAATGTTTTAAAAAGCAGTATAGTCCTGGCCGGTTTGGTTCACGGGTAGAGCGTCAGTCCACAGACCAAAGAGTCGTAAGTTCCATTCCGGTCAAGGGCATTTACCTCTGTTGCGGTTCGTCCCAGGCCCTGGTCGGGGTCGTGCAGGAGGCAGCCAGTCCATGTGTCCCTCTCACGTTGATGTTTCTCTCTCTCTCCTTTTCTCTCTCTCTCTCTCTCTCCCTCCCACTCTTTCTAAAGATAAATAGAAAAATATCCTCAGATGAAGATTTAAAAAAAAAAAAAACAGTATACCATTTTATCACAAAGT